TATTTAAAATACAATTGATAAATGTTAAATTGTTGCTGTGCCTTTTTTTTTTTTTCATTTCACTGCAAGTATAATTCGGATTTTTTTTTTTTAGTGAACAAAATTTATTATTGGATATCAACATGAAACAGCTAACAACTGATGCAGCAGATATGTGTACAGGCAATCGACCACGGAACTCTTCCATGTATGTTAGTTGCTATTATGCTTAAATACATCATTTTTAGGGTACATAACATAATGTTTTTATTGCTTTTTTTTTTTCTTCTGTATTCTAGTTATGAATATGATTAGTGTAGGTATAGTGAAGGGAAAAAGAAAGAGCTGGAGGATTCAGTTGATAATATTCAATGTAACACCAAACCAGTATTTTTCGGAAGTTTTTTTTTACAGTTTATCCTGTCAATTTTAGGCTGGCTGTAAATTTTTGGTACCTTTTTTTAGTGATACGAAAACTAAGTGTTGTATATAATTTATAGTTTTTTTTTGGGTTTTTTTTAGGGGTTACATTATCGTGAAATAGAAAAAATGAAGGTGAAATTCATTATTTTATCTTCTACATTTATTTAGAAAAAAAAATTTTTTTTGTACGTTTGGTTTATGCTTTGTACTTTTCCAGCTTTCGTGTAACAAATCACAGCCAGATCTTGATTTCTTTTTTCTTCGTGATTTAGTCAGTAGGTTATCTGCTAGTATTTCTTTATACAAATTTTTATAAATATAACGTTATCTGTACATAAATGGAGAATCTTATATATATTTTTTGGTGGTTTTTATGTATTGCTGACTGCTAAAAAGCATTACCGATTTCCAAATACATTCGTGCGTTTGTGCTGTGAAATTGAGAAGTCGTAACTGGCTTATTGGTGAGTATTTCTTAAATTTTTTTCTATCTGCTCAAAAAGAGAATTTAAAATAATAATTTTGGGATAGTTGCATACCTCAAGCTTTCCTTAATTTCATGGTATTGTTGAATGTAATTTGTTGGAAATTTGATAGTACAATACGCAACTAATTATTATAATCTTACTGCTACACTGCTGCTTATCATTATATAGGATTCTATGGCTTAAAGCTGTGTTATAAGTATTGTTTCTGGATTCACTGATTTGTCAAGAAGGTCCCATTATTTCGAGTATTTATTTCAACAGCTTTTCTTCTAATCTATGGAGAATGTTGAAAAGAAATTTGGTTTTTTTTCGATCGGTTTTGTTAACGGGTTACAGCGTTTCGTTTTGGATGTTATTGGTGGATATTTTTGAATGACCGACAATCAAAATAAAAGTAGTTATCAGAGTATTTCGGGTTTGGACGAGGGTGACGGTTGGCGATCTTTGACAGCACTAATATGTTGCAAACCATATGCTTCATGATTAGAATATGCTTTTAATATTTTCCTTTTGGTACTTATTTTGATTAACACTTATACTTTGTTTTTCTTTTCTTTCCTAAGATTCTTTGCAAGAAACTTTCATATTACTGTTTCGTTCTTACAGTTCTACTCTGTTAAGGCTGTAAATTTGGTTTCAAAGTTGGACTATATCTTAACTCATTGGCAGTAAAAAAGCTCATAGAAAC